GCTTAAATGTTTAATCCATGAACACTCCTCATGTTTGTTCACAATAAAGATATTAAAACATAAATGAAGTCGTTTTAAGAAAAACGACTCCCGGGCGAAGCACGGGTAGCCAGCAGTTTTCAATTTAATTACTTAACGTTTTTATGTACACTATGTATATATATATATATATATATATATATATATTATACACACATGTATATGTATATAATATACTATTTTTAATACAGCACAGATACAGATGACCCAATCGAAGGATCTTCTTTCTCTAATACAAGCGTCAGTACTTCTTCCACTGATTCGGCCACTATACCACGAAAACGTGCACGTGGGATTACATCTGTTAGCAAGGAACGCAGCGAAAAGATTACACGGGCACTAGTTAAATTAATCGCATTTAACCGACTGCCTTTTAATTTTTCTTCTAGTCCTGCTTTCCAAACATTTATGAAAGAAATCGAGCCTGGATACAAGTGCCCATGCAGTCAAACAGTACTACGCCGTTTACGTGCTCTTGAAGATGAAGTAAAAACCAAGATCCAATGTACATTAGATTTGTGCAAATTTATTGCTCTGGACACGGATTGTTGGACTTCTCGATCTCAAGAAGGTTATATGAATGTGAATGCTCACATCGTAAATAACGTATGGGAGCCACAAATATTCACGTTAAGTATGCAAGAACTTAGCGAAAGGCATACGGCGGAAAATTTAGCTGACAGCTTACAAAATGTTGCTGCTGAATGGCAAATTGACACCAAAATTGTATCCATTGTTCATGATAATGCAAGCAACATTGTTCTCGCAGTGAACAGCATGATGAACGTCGGATCCAGCTCTAGTTGTGCAGCACACACGATAAATTTAGCCGTGAGAGATGCGTTGAAGGAAGATAATATTTCCATCGTGCTTGCTAAAAAAATTAAAATTGTTTCCCATTTTCATCATTCCGTCATTGCTTCACAAGCTCTTGCAAAAAAACAAGAACAATTAGGCTTACCTCAACGAAAATTAATCCAAAGTGTTCGTACTCGATGGAATACAGATTTACTTATGGCTGAAAGACTTGTAGAGAATCGTAGCGCTATCACAGCTGTTCTTGGAGATCGAACCGTGACAACTCCTTTGCATGCTAAAAATTTAGAAATAAATGAAGATGAATGGAGTATGTTTGAAAATTTAATACCAGTTCTCAAACCACTTGAAATTGCAACTACGGTACTATCCGGAGCTCCAGCATCAATGGTACGTCCAGTAATTCAAACTGTGATCGCTAATCATCTTTCTTGTGGAACTGAAGGCGTATCAAAAACGTTAGCAGAGGCGTTATCAATTCGTTTCCAAATGGAGTCACAGGAAAATATATCAGTTCGTCAAAAAGCATCATTTTTAGATCCTCGTCATAAAGATCTCCAGGCTGAACCAATGTTGCAACGGACCGCGATTAGAGAACTGATTGAACTAGAAGCAACATCTCTTATTCCAACAGGATCCGAATCGTCACAAAGCTTGTCAAATAGCGTACTAGACTATCTTTTTAAAAAGCCCGAAAACACGCATTTAACTTCGGCAGCTCAGCAGATCCAACTGTATCTTTGTGAGCCACAAATTGATATTAATATGGATCCCCTTCAATGGTGGAAATCACATGAAAAGAAATTTCCACAGTTGGCTCTGTTGGCGAAGAAATATTTATGTATTCCCGCGACATCCGTTGCGTCAGAGCGAATTTTTTCAACTGCGGGCAATATCGTTTCGCCACAACGGAGCTGCATGGCCTCTGAGAATGTTTCGACAAATGTTTTTATTTTTCAAAACAAATTTTTATTAGAGTAATAAAGCCATGTACTTTTATTTTTTTGACAAAAAATATTTAGTTTTATTTAGTTTTATTTAGTTTTTATTTTAGTTTTTTTTTAATTTTATATTTAGTTTAAAAATAATTTTGTTAACGAATTGTTAATTGTCTTAACAATTTTTATATAGATTAAAAACAAAATGTGTTGGACACCTAATTGATGAATTTTCGAAAATATTTCGAAAAACACGCAATTAAAGTTTTAGTGAATCTCTGACGCAATAAAATATTGTAACTTGGTAAATGTTTCAAATTGTAACAAGCGTTTTATTTTAAAAATATTATAAAATGTTTAACCTTTAAGAAAATTGATTTTTTGAAAGTTTAAAAGTGATCTCCACTTTTAAAAACTATACATTAGCCAACGCGCGCTATTCTCGCTATATATATGTACACATACAAATTTTGCGATAAACAAATATAAATAACTCTCTCTCTCAACAACTATTCTTGATAAATATATATTTTTTTAAATAAGATGGATATATAAATACCAATTGCAATATTAATCTTTTAAGTGATAGATATATTTCAAACAACTATAACATATTGAGGACAAATATCGCAGTATGCGTTATTTGATAATTTCAGAACGAGAAATATTTCCGAAAACTCGTTTCATGTTTCAATAAGAACGGCTTAATTTTTTATTTAAAATTTTTCTATTTTATATATGTAATAGTTCATGTTATAATATTTCAAGATTGTAATTTAGGAATAATTACACATTTTTTTAGTATATATATTGACTAATTTTTTTTTTTTACAATATTTTTAGCGTCCTTTAAATGAATTCGACATTCGCACAAATATATTGTTCGAAACTTCGAAGCTTCGAAGGTTCGAATTTAACTTCAAACTTTGAAGCTTCGAAGCTTCGAAGCTTCGAA